ACGTATTAATGCGTGAGTGCGTATACACGCGTGTGGATCGAGCAGTGTGGAGTGCTCTTTATTTAGAGTATATTTATATATAAGTAAGTAACTATTATATTCTAAAAGTTGTATATTAATAATAAGAACTCAATTAACCATACGTGCTATGAATAGTAGTTGATATGATTATTTATAACCTATAATTTAGGTTAACTACAAATAACGTTCTTTGGGTATCGGTAGAAGCTATATAGTGGAATTATTTGCTATTTTCTTGCAATTTACTGCCGATTATTTTTAGCTGTTTGAACGCGTCGAGATCATGAGCAGACGCACGCTTGTCGCGACAGCCCATCGGAAGCAGTAATAGTTCTGGAGACTGTAGTCGCATTATCTTACATACGTATGATGCGTGAGTGTGTCATATATACGTACGTTTGTGCTTGTGCTGTCGAGCGCTTTTAATTGTATACAACATTTTTATATGAGTAAGTAATTATTATATTCTAAAACTTGCATATTAATGATAAGAACTTAATTATCTATATGTGCTGTAAATAGGTAGCTGGTGATTCAAGATCTATTTTTTGACCTATATAAGAGAGAGATTTGCAGAAGAAAAGAAATATACCAAAGTATTAATAAGGATCAAACATATTCTTGATGTATGTACTCGGGTCGCGAGGCTGAGCAATATTCTAAGGAAAGTATTATACAATTGAATCGTTTTATATTGTGCGCAACGCTCATCGCGACAGCCATGATGTACATGATTATCTTACATACGATGCGTGAGTACGTATACACGTGTGTCAATCGAGGAGTGCAGAGTGCTCTTTATTTACAGCATATTTATATATAAGTAATAATTGATATTCTAAAAGTTGTATATTAATGATAAAAATTCAATTAACCCATACGTGCTATAATTATTTATTGTGCTATGAATAGTAGCTGGTGATGTAGGATTTATTTTCCAATTTACAAGAGAGATTTACAAAAAAGAGGAAATATCAATTAATTTTTTTACGTTCTATAATAGATTTGTCCTTGGACATTAAAAATATCATCAAGGTTTGTCAATGCTATTATTTCAATGGTACCAAACAGTGTAACTTTCTATAAAATAACCTCAAAATTTAGCGAAATATGTAAATGATAACGTATAAATAAGCTGGTACACTATGCATGAAGACGATTTGTTGAAGTATTGTGCGGCTTTAATATATCATTGTTTGCATATATCACTGTAAAAGTAATTTAGTATAAAATTGGTATAAAGTTGATAGATATGTAACAAACGATCAGTACAAACAAGACCAAAACTGACTTTTTATTTATTTCTATATTTTTTTCACATATATGTGCTATAATCACACTCTAAAGTATATAAATTGATTATTGTAAGCATATTTTATATGTACATACAGGGCAATGAATATGTCTTAACATATGGGATCAACAATTGTTGTATCAAATTCAAAAAACCACCATTTGAAAAATTTGACC